CTGTATTTGTGCCCCTGTTCCAAAAGCGACTAGGCTACCGCTCCTTCGCGCAGCCCGAACACTGCGAAAACATTATTGAACATGCTTTGCAACACTGCCACAAAATGAACCTCAAGTAAATCCCTAAATCCCTCAACCGCTGGGCATGAATCCGCCCAATTGGCAATAGCAGCATCGCAGGTTCAGAAAGGTGCTGCTTGGAAATGTTTGAGCCATTTCAACGTGCCATGTGAGCACAATGTGCCCACATATGTGCAGCCGCGACATCGCCGCAAGAGCAAAGTACCAGGGAACCTGCTCCGGAATGCGCTCTGGAGCCTGCCAGCCTGTCACCACAGCATGAACCGACATCAGCATCTCAGCATGACAACGTGCCAGTATTGTAGCTGACCCGTGTCAGCATACCAGCATGACGTCAGCTTGAAACATGTCGCAGTGCCACCATGCCAGCATGTCAGCATATCAGCATATCGTGTTAGCACGTTTGCATGTCCAAAGGCACCATCGTAAACAACACGCCAACGTGACACCTCAGCATCTAAGCACAACAGCATGTTAGCATGCCAGCACACACAACAAGTCAGCATGACAGAATGTTTGCATGTTAGCATCACGGACCAACGACATGTCACCATTACATACGCCATGGCAATCTCGGCAAAAATGCCGAAGCGACGCTTGCTCCTGCATCTCTTCCGGAACTCTGAACTTGCACGAGAACTTGCTCCGGAGCCTGCCCCAAAGTCTTTCCGGAACCTGCTCCGTCCAGTCCAGAAGGCCCCCATCTGCTCCAAAGTCCTTATATGCTATGTCTGAAGGCCCCCAAGCTTCGCTGGTACGGAAAATATGTCGAAGCAAGCATAGCTGGACATTTGACTGACAGGTGTCTGGGGTCGAGGAGTCGAGGAGGCGAACAATTTTGCAGGTATGCTGTATGCTGATATGCTGTCATGCTGACATTGTCGTGGCGTAGTGCTGGAATGTCATCATAATGAACCTTGGCATGGTGTCATGCTGACATCAGGCTGACACACTCACACATTGATCCGTTTTGCGACGCTGTCCATGCTGTCACGCTGAGGCGTTGTCACGCCTGTCATGATGGCTTGTTCACCCTGATTCGCAATGCTGGCTGTCACGTCGAGGTGTTCTCAGCCTGTCGTGTTCACATGTGTTGTCACGTTAGCGGCCAGGCTAACATACTGACACTTCTCGCGTTGGCATGCTGGCATCAGGTCAAGCTGATATGGTGACGCGGCTCGAGAGCGGGTTCTGGAGAAGGTTTCATCTTTCTCGCTTGTTGCAGCGCTGTCATGCTTGCGCGCATGTGGGCACACATAGCGCTATGTGGTGATGCTTGCATGGCGCCCGCGTGCTTCAAAGCAGCATTGTTTAGCAGTGTAGCTAAGACCCTACCTGCATGCCCTGCCCTTGGCTCGAAAACCTATACTCCAGAACCAGTAGCAGTAGCGGAAGTTGCTCCGAAACTGCTCCGGAACTGGCTCCGGAGCTTCTGGCTTCATTGTTGGGTAATAAAACGTGCTTTTTCGGGCCTCATGGCTCAAGGATACAAAAAGAGCAGAAATTGTCATTGCCCAGCTACCACGCCAAGACTACATGCCATGACTGCTAGGACACCAGCTAGAGGCATTGCCCTGCCACATTCCAAATGCAAAGTGTTCACAAGCGACCTTCACTTTGCGAAGTGTGAAAATCACTTTCACTCTTGCTTAATTCGCATGAGGCTTACTTTTTGAGGCACCATGGCGTCCCTCATTCCGCTTTGGATTGTGGCTCGGGGTCAATTTCAGGGGTTGCGGGGCGCCGTGCGTTTCCTCAAAACCAGGGTTGCCCCTTTGGAACGTGTCCCACACATTCCGAAGCGATGAAAGGAACTGGACCGTCAAATCGTGAAGGGCTGCGATTCAGTAGATAGCCATCGCGTAGCCATCGTGTAGCCGTCTAGTAAGCTAGGTCCAGCGATCTAGCTGAGAATCCAGCCACTTCAAAATCTTCAAACCAACATCGGACTAAGCATTCTGGTGCTTGCATTGGTCCAGCTACTTTTTGATTGGGATGGTGTTCGCAGCACTTCAAACCAACCAGAACAAATCACAGAAAAAAGAACCCGAGAGGCAAAGGCAACCAAGGCCACATCGTGATGAGGTGGTTAAGCTCAAACCTTTTGAAAAGCAACAACCTAGTCATGCCTTATTGGTTCATCGTTGTCGCCTATAGTGAACGGTCCTGCTTGCTACAGTAAAGCTTGACACACCTGAAGTGTTTGCTTGTTGACTTTAGCATCTGGCCAAGCGCGCTACTTCGTCCGTGAATCAGACTTTGACTCTATCTCTCTCCAAAATATCCAGTCCGGTCCCAACAATGGCCAGGAACGTGTTTGGGCAAGATACGATCATTGAGTCAAGTTTGAAGAGCATGTGCTCGATGAAAAACATGTGCCAACATTACTTTCCAAAGTCATCGCACGTTGCTTTCCAGAGTTTCGTCTGACCTCTGCTTTCCGCGACAAGAAGTAACACGGGCCGAGCCTGACCAGAAGGCTTTGACGGCACCTCTTGTGGCTCCACATGGGTCATAACACCCTGCGGATCCACGCAAACGTACCTGTTGCAGACCAACAGAACTCACTGAGCAAAGCAGGCAGGGTAGAAACTGATACAGAGGCAGGAAAGTGACAGAGCAAGCTTCAACATGAGAGTTAGCCCATCGCAGCATGGTAAAACGCGCGCACACACACACACACCTTCTCTCTCTCTCTCACACACCATGCGGTATCATGGGACGGGTGACATGCACCAAAGCACCGCCGTGACAAATCTGCTTCAGCCACAAATCCCCGCAGAACTTGAACTACACGCGCCTTGGTTTTCTTGTCAAATCCTCTCCGTAAACCTGCCTCTTAAACAACCTTGTTTCGTTCACCGGCTTGCTTGCCCTGCGTTTTGTCGTCTTCTTCGGCATTGGATGGAAATGCTTAGCAGCTTGGCACAGACAAGATAAGCATGTCATTTGACTATATATATAACGCTCTTTGTTGTCATCTTTTGTCTCATTCTCGGCCCCGGGTCGGGATATGAACCACAGGTAGCGATTTACGCACCAGGAGTTGATGGTGGAAACTCGCAACCAACCCTTCACAAATCCTCACCTATTGTCTGTAAATCTCACATCTTTTCCTGAAATCTCTCTAGTCCTGCATCTGGCTGCCGAAAGCCCGAACATAGTTGTCGAGAATTGCTGTGCTAACTCCACTCTGACGGGACATTTATTTGTCCTGCAGCTTCTGAACTCGTGGATGTTGTCCCTGGACCGTTCTGCTGCTGTTTGGGGGTCATGCAATCAATGCCCCCGCGGCAGCCCCGTAGGGCTTCGTTTCCAGAACAGTTGTTGATGGCAGAAACTCACAACCCTTCACAAATCACACTCGAAGCCAACGTAAAAAACCTCAAAGTGAAAGGCACCACAATGCATTCATGGCAAAGCTGTCCTTGCTCGAGCGCTCTCCCACTTGGACCAAGAATCGACGCGGTCGACTCATGACTCATGATCAGAAGATCTGGATGGATCTTCACACGCACCAAAACACCAAATTAACTTCTTCCTGGCACTGAGTCTTTATTTTAAATGACCTGACCTCTACGACTCTACGCCATCTACGCGTCAGCGTAATAGATTGCACAATGAAGTCTCCAGAGCGTGGCCCAGCGCATGGGCAACCGCTGAAACCTGAAAACTTGAGCACTGCCACTCTGAGATTGCAACGTGGCTCACAGGCAGCACAAACCCAAAGCAGACATATTCACATGGATACCAAATTATCACAATCAAAGAAAGCTCCAAAGAGTTCCAATATGCAAACATCAAACATATCACATACACACACCATATACATGTTTACACATATACATATACAGTGTCAACACAAGGACGAGGAAAAGAGTTGGATGCGAAATGGCAGCCTTGAATTGTTGAGACCAAACTAGCCAATAAAATAACTCACCAAACAGTTGCCAAGAAGGCTGAGACCGACCCGTAGCAGTTACTAACTAGAGAGAGCAAATGAATTGTACAAGTAAACGGTGATGAAAACATCCGCACAGGTTGAAGGTTTAAAAACGTTCAGGGCACTCCCAATCACCTCTGGCAAAGCCAGCATGTTGTGGCAAATGCGACGCAGGCACCTCCTCCTGGCATTACAAAACAAAGCCCATGATCTCGCTTTTAAAGCGCACGCGCAAGCGCCACAGACATCCAAACACCACAAGATAGTCCAAGAACAATTGGTGCCTTTGGAGTCAGCACGTTCACACCACATAGGCTCTTTGGTAGGAAGTAAGCGCCAACCCTGGCGACAAGAAGAATCTTCCAAATGACCAACAATATGATAAGACATGAAGGGCTGCGCAATAAAACAAAGAAATGGTGCATCTTTTTTATCGTGTCTGGTCTTAGCTGATTTCTGAAACAATTTATATACATTTCTTTGCAGTATCTGTGTGATTGTGTGATTGTGCCTGTCTGTAATTCCTCCAGTCATCTCGCCTCAACCAGTCGCCATTGTCAACTCCATGGACCACCGAGCCCCACAGGGCCGTCCGGGGTGGAATCGCCTCACGATAGCGTCTGGGGTAAAAAGCAAATGATTTTCCTAATCTTCTCTTCAGTTTCACCCTGAGCACTTGAAACCTTATCTCACTAGCAGAGTTGAATTGCTGAATGAGCAAAATGGATAGGCGTGAAAGTCCCGGAACCTCGGTCTCAAAAGTTGACTCTGGCTATGCACCTCATCTAAATTGTGCGGAACGAAAAAGACTCATCGGTTTTTAAGGAAACATTGGAATGAGGAATCCCAACTGAAGAAAAGGACCTTAAATCCGACCTTTGAAACGTTTCACGCCAACAAACTTAAACATATGTATATCGCTTGCTCAAGCGCAACTCCAAGAACGGACAATGGGCCCATATATCATATGCGTTCCTTCAGGCCAAGCCGCTTCTACATCACAAAAGGTATGAGCTATTGCGAGCCATTTCCAGCAAAACTTTTGGAGCGTGCGCAGCCTTGGATTGGCTGCGCCAAGCGTTGGCGCAGCCAACAAAACCGTGGGCAAAAAGTATAATTGTATATGATGTGGTGTGTGTGTGTGTGTCCCACCCTGGACAAAGGGTTTTTCCACCACCTTCACTC